TGGATTTCAGTATAATTTTCGACAGATAACAGCTAGTTTTTCAGCTGGAAGACGTTAACAGTTAGTGGTTAGCGATATACTGCTGTTCTGGTGTTCCTGGTTTAAGTACAGGTTCATTAAACTTGATTTGGTCACAGTAGGGAAATTTTGCTTTCAATTTAGTCGTGTACTTGGTAGCGTAGTTGATTGCGTCGTGTCAACCCAGCGCGCGCGTGGCGCTTAAACCATGCCTTGCGTGATGCGCAGAACGTGTGCGCACTAACAAAAGTAGGCACCGTCCTTAAGACAATCTCCCAGCTTTCCCACTCGCCAAGCAGTTGATCAACTGGCTGGGGCCACGGAGGAGGAGGGGGGAGGGGGTGGGGGAGAGGTGCCAGAACCTCCCGTATACTGAAGAACATAGATGACTTGGTCAAACGAATAATCTATCTAATGGCTGAATTGACTGAAAAGGGAGTGTTGCTTTTCTATGGCCCCAGTGCAGAAAAGCGAAAGATGACTTTATAGTTGTAATACGAAGACAGTGCGATGATTTTCGAGGTTTATACGGAGAAGCCTCAAAACTGCATGCCGACGACATTCCAGGTCAGTTTCGAAGTTGGTCGAAGAATAATAAACGATTTCCGAACACTTCTAAGGACCACCCGAACACTTCCGAAGATCATGACTTAAAGGATTTTAAAAGAGTTTTTAACATTATCGGAAGGTTTGCGAATGCTTTCGAAACTTCAGAAGATATTTGAAAGACCGGTGGTGGTGCCTGCCCAAGTAATCAGTTTATGAAAAGCCAAAGACGGCGTGGATTTTTTTTTTCAAACAGAAAATCACATAGATTTTTTTTATCGTACAATTGAGAACTTGTAACTTATCAAAGGCCCCGTCTCGCACTACGCCGGAGAAATTTGAAAACGGCGACTCACTCTGAAAACGCATGAATTGTTTTCTATCTACACTACGCCGGAGAAGTTTTTGATAACGCAACAATTTCGGTCGGGATATTTACAGTGACGGATCTAGGGGAGGGGGACGGGGGACACGGCCCCCCCTTACTTTGGGTAAAAAAGAATCGCAGAAGGAAGAAAAGCCGGTAGGACAGGCAAAAAAAGAAAACTGCTCCCCTCCCCCTCCCCTACTTAGCTCAAAGTCTGGATCCGCCACTGATTCAGACCGAAATTCGCCGTTCCTTTTTTGACAAACCAGTTCTTTGCCCTAATTAGGGAATTCGGAAAAGGAATAAAAAATGGCAAGAGCTATTCCACTTTCCTCGGGTATTCCCCCCGGGGTATTCCCACTGATCTCTGACAGGTGGGTTTGGCATAATGGAAAGCACCCAAAGTCTTCAAAATGTTTTCGTTCCGTACTAAAACACAACTGCTGGCCTTTTCGAATTCGTCATGTTCGAAAAGCGTTTCCGAAAAGCTCCGTTTTCGTGACGGATTAGTGTGGACGGTAGATCTAACCGTTGAAATAAAGCTGCGTTTTCAAGTTTCTCCGGTGTAGTGTGGACGCGTCCATCAACTACAAGTTCAACTCAGCTACGGCGCTCGTCCAATTAACGAATGTATTCCAGCGATAAGAAAAACAACGTTTCGGTGACATCGTGACACCATTTTCAAGTTTAAATGCAAAAAGATAAACTGTCAGAAAATTCGCTCGAGATTAACATACTTCGTAATTACATATACAATGCTACGCAAATAGTTTTGCTTGAATTGAGTCCAACTGGACATTAAGAGATGGTGTTAAATCTCTAATTAGCAGCATTTCATGCACTAAACAATCGAACTTACTCATGCACTTCCTGAGAACGGAAAAATGTCTCTACAGGTCTTTTGGAACAATACGGTGTTTGTTAATGAAGTGTTTGCCAAGGAAGAAGACTGTTTAGTGTGTTCAGCCACCCGTTGGTGCAAGTACCTTAAAGTATAGCCTACATAACTTGCATCGCACAAGTCACATTAAAATTTGTAAATTACACGTTGTTGGTTAACAATAGGCGGGTTAATCTCATACACTTTTAGCTCTCGCTGGATCTCATCACTAACAAAAGCCGGTTGAATGACAGTGTGGGTCTTCAAGCTCAGGTCTTTCAGCTGTTTGCGGACTAAGTCTGGCGAATCCTGGTCTTTGAAAGGCAGGATTCGGACCGTTGGGTTCTCTTTTGGGGCGGGTGTTGGTTGCGGGTCTTCAACTTTAATGCGATGAACGACTTCATTGTAGAGTTGATAAGGTCTTGTGGATATTTCAGCCGGGAGGAAACTGCTGTCAAACGGTCACATTCTTCAGAAAAATACGACCAGCACGATGATAAGCGATATGCACGGTCAAGCATGGTTTTCAAAAGTCCTCGTTTCTATCGCATGTCGACATGGCTCTGGTAGTGGAGCAAAAGACCCGTGTTGGAAGGTTTTATGTAGACTTTGATCTCAATTTGAGGAGCTCTGTTAAGATGTTGCATTCCTAGAAAAGGAAGCAGACCATTACCTTCTGTTTCCATGGTGAACTTCACTGATGAGTGGCAGTTGTTGAGCACTTGAAGAAAGGAAGCTGCTGATGGTGTGTCAGGCATTATAGTTAAAGTGTCCTCGACGTATTTCTTGTAAAAAGAAGGCATTTTGCCTTCACATGTGAACCAGAGTTTCTTCAATGGATCCCATGAAGACATTAGCGAGCAGTGGCCAGAGTGGAGAGCCCATGGCGACGCCATTAGTCTGTTCATAAAGTTGCCCATTGAACTGGAACAGTTGGTCTTTGGTGAATGCTTTGAGAAGATCTACAGCTTCAATTCAAGCAAAACTATTTGCGTGACATTGCATATGTAATTACGAAGTATGTCAATCTTGAGCGAATTTTCTGACAGTTTATCTTTTCGCATTTGAACTTGAAAATGGTGTCACCGAAACGTTGTTCTCTCTTATGGCTGATTTTTACTTGTTTATGCTTTACAAAACCTTTGCTTATAAAGATTTATTCAATATTGCACTCAAAATCATGTGATTACCTATGCAAATTTGAGCATCGAACGGCAATGAAACTCTCTTCATTTTAATTTACGCTAGGGTTAGACACATTATGCCGGCATAACTTTGGGCATAATGCTATAGTCTGAACATCGACCATAATGTCAGCATAAAGGGTATTTTTTTCAGCATGAAGAGAACAATAATAATATAAAAAAATTAAAATTTTCATAACTGTGATGAGAAGTTTTCACTTTCAAGTGCTTTTAGTAAGGATTTAATATATTCAAAAGCTTGGTTGCTTCTTCTATTGGTCTTGAACTGATCTGAGAGAGTATCCTGACGATGGAGAGTTCCACTGAAATGGGTAATTTTAAGTGCTTTTGAGCATTATTTGTTGTTTATTGCTTGTAAAGTTGTAACTGCTGCAATAAAATGTTGTGTTCTGACTTATGGAGGTATCTTTTTGTCTCCAGGGATGGAAAAGGGCGTCAAATATAACCGTGATGAGTCGAGCATGATGCTTCTTCTCGAGCATAATTTTGTTTAGAGGGTGACGCTCAAAAGCATAATATAAAAATATAAAGCGTATTTGATAAATGCTAAATTTTGGTGAAAGTTAAACCTGAACTTAGCCTAAGAGTCTTTATATAGATCAGTTCTGAAGTGTCAATCAAAAGTATGTTGAATGCAAACCGTATGCGCCGCGCACAACAGAAAAGCGCGGGATCATGCGAAATAAGTTCTACTTCAGTTGATAATCACTCGTGGCGCAAAGACGACATAGACTGCGACAGTTTCTGTATAAGTCGTCAAGAATGCCCGGTAGGTCGAGAGCGCGTGGCAACGAAAGTCGTGATGCTGGTTATCGTAAAAAGGACAAGAAGAAAAAGTGTCCATACAAAAGCAATGGTCGCATGCAATCTCTGCATGCGACACAAACGCGTCTGAGGCGACAAGAACCTCTAGGTAAAGTATACTGCTACCTCAATTAAGGGAGGCATAGGTTTGTGTGAGTTGTTCTACTTTCTTTCTGGCACCTAACATAGTTTTATTGCTCCATTTCAGTTTGGATTGAACTCTGCATCATTATGTAACAAGGTGAGTTCCACGTCTAACTTCGTTCTAAAGCGAAAGTGTTCCGCTGTTATCAGTTTACCACCCACGTCTTACATAACGATTTTGCGCGCGTTCTCAAAGATACGATTTTACTAATTTAGAAATAAGTATTAGCGAAACAAAATCCTTTCAATGCTGTATTAGATTTCATCATTAACTGATTTTTTGCTCTAATATAATGTCATCTGAATAAGAGATGAACAATGTGTCGTTACCAATTTCAAAGACTATAGGTTTTCTTCTGTGAAAGGGGCTCAACGTGATATTTAGACTAAAAATTCGCTTGCGTTTGTGACCCCAAATCTTCCAAGCATACCTTTCTCAAAATCACCAACGTAGCAAAATGCCATCGAAAATGTTTGAATAATTTGCCTCATGAGAAATGTTTGAAGGCAAGGGCTGGGCTCTCGCTTAATGACTAACGCAAAAGGAGGCAGTAGGTCCAGTTTGTTTTCGACCCGGGGAAGGGAGGGGGTAAAACAACCGATAAAATTTCATTCAGCCGTAATTTTACGCGTAACTTTTCCCTGAAAGAGATAAATGACGCGTGTTCCTTTGGCAAGCGATTATTTCCTTTTTCGCTGTTTTAGCGAATAAAGGCTCGTGCTCCATTTTGCTACGAAGGTAGAGGGCTAGTGAATTTTCTTTGCGTTTGACGGAAATACATTCTGTTGTTCAAAGCACATGCTGCTCAACGCAATCTTGCTGTCAACCAATCGAATGCGGAGCCCACATTAATATATGCAATAAAAAAAGTGAATCATTTGCCAAAATCGCCATTTTAATTTTAAATTTGACGCCTTCTTCGGCAAGATAAAGTTAAAATAGTACGGTAACGGTATCGCAGCATTGTAAAACGCCTTTACCATGCCTGGAAAATCAGGATCTAGCGGGAATTCGGGAACTGATGCTGGATATCCTAGAGACAATCCAAGCAGTGAATCTAGGAAAGGCAATGGAGGGGGAAGCTGGTTTTGTGAGTGAAATTTAATATTGACAAGTGCTCCTCTCACTCGTGAACTATCTGACTTGCTTTTCTCCATTCTATTTCAGCATGCATGATATTGTGATGAAAGAAGGTAAGTAGCTATGTTTCGCTTCAGAGCAACCGTCGTTACTATCTAGGCCGTCGTTGGTACAAACTGTGGAACTGCGTGTCAACTTAAGATCAGGCTGCATTTGAATTAAGTTAAATTTTGATGATAGCCAGACCTGAACTCAGCCGAAGAGTCTTTACATGGATCAGTTCGAGGTCTCAATCAAAAGTGTGTTGAATGCAAACCGTATACTCCAGAAAAGCGCGAGATCATGCGAAATACGTTGTATTTCAGTTGATAATTCCTCGTGGCGCAAACATAGAGCGTGAAGGTTGCTTCGCGAATCGTCAAAAACGCCTTCAGGGAAATCAAGAACGACAGCTAATTCGCCTATTGGTGCTGGTTATCAGTGTATTAGACGTGTTCAACAAGTAGTAGAGGGATGCTAGAGATCTCTCTACCAAACTACAACTCGCGTAAATCGACAAAGGCGAAGAAATTCGCGTGGAGTTGTTCCACTACCGCTAACAAACCTTCGATGTCGAGTATCGATAAAGCATGTCGTTTTAATTCGTTTTCCCTTTTCTGGCACATCTAACACGCTTTTTCTTCTCCATTTCAGCGTGGTTCGCACCCCGTACAACACTTTAAGAAGGTGAATTGTTATATTCAGCTTGCTCCAAAAGCGAAAGTTATTTTTTGCTAGTGTTTTGCCACCCAAACCGTAGATACAAGATGGCGCTGCCGTCCTTCCGATTCACCTAATTTCGAATTGTTGGCGAAACAAATCACTTCGCTAGTGCATTTAATCTCAAATATTTGCACGGGTTCCTGTACTTTGCAATTCAGTCAAACAACGAGGAAAGAATTAGCTCATAATGTTGCTCAATGCAGCTTTAATAACTAACTGCCCACATTGCCTTCATGACTTCATACTCCAGCAATCATGGAGTTGGGAATCAGAGATGCATTTCTGTTCTCCCCTAGGTTATGTTTTTGCACTATTAGAGTTAAGAGTAACAAAAATTAATAACAATAAACCTGTTTTTCAGACACTGGACACAAGAAAGAAAGAGTTGATGAAGCCCTTGAACATAGGACCGAATGGATTATCTCTTATCTCTGACGTGGAAGAGGTTTACTTTTAACAGTTTGCGAGACCGAGACTTTTGTTGCCTGAGACATTTGTAGTTTAGTAGAACATTAACTTTGCGCGATCTCATGATATTATAATCTCGTGTGTTTAAGTGTATGTTTCACTTCTAGGTTAAGTTGCTTGCATAATTTTGGGCATTATGCCATAGTCTGAGAATCGAGCATAATGCTGGCATAATGGATATTTTTTCAGCATGAAGAGAGTAATAATAATATATAAAATTAATATTTTCATAACTGTAATGAGACATTTTCACTTTCTAGTACTTTTAGCAAGGATTTAACATATTCAAAAGCTTGGTTGCTACTTTCAAGGCATTGAAGTGATCAGAGAGTATCCTAACGATGACGGGTTCCATTGAAAGAAGACATTTCAAGTGCTTTTGAACATTATTTGTTATTTATTGTTTGTAAAGTTGTAGCTGCTGCAATAAAATGTTGTGTTTCTGACTTATGTGTTTATGACTTATTCTTCACTTTCATCTTTTTGTCCTCAGGGATGGAAAAGGGCGTCAAATATAACCAAGATCAGTCGACCATAATGCTTCTTCTCGAGCATTATTTTAGGCATAGTGCTGTTGTTTTGAGGGTGAGGCTCAAAAGCATACTGCCCAAATTTTTGAGCATAATGTATCTAACCCTATTGCGCACAAGAAAAGCACCATTGAAGGCTCTCACTTCTGGTATTAACTGTGAAACTCATGATTTTATAGGACACAGAGCTATCACGAAATACACAATTTGAAAAAAGTAACTTCAGTTCTGTTTTAATTGCGGCTTAGGCGCTGTGTTTCTTAGCTTATAGATGAGGGTAAAACATTGATATTCAAAGCACAAGTGAACAGACCAATTTAACAGTGAATTCAAATTAGCTTCGCACACGAGATTTTCAACGAGGCAATTGAATTAATATCAAGCACAAACTCCTGTTAAATAGCTTCCACACTGTCCAAGTCTTGGTATTCGTTATGAGCTAGTGAAACTAACACAAAGTTAGTGGAATTCTGTAGGAAAATTTCACTACAAGTATGATTAAACACAAAGCGCGCTTTTCTAAGGTCTGAAATATGCGGAGTGAGCATATTTTTGTCAAGCAAAGCATTTGGAGTGCCACATAAATGGAAATTATGTATTTCAGAACAAAGATATACAAAAATAAAAAGCATGCTTTGCCAGCGTTTTCTAATATGCAATGTAAGCACATTTATTTTGGTCAGCCAACATCCCGCCATCTCTATGGAAACCCAATGCACAACC